AAACCGGGCGCATGATAAAGAACGTCACAATTTTCCCCACCAACCTCTGCTTGGAGAGTAAGGATTTTCTGCTTTCTGATGTCGCATGTTGCAATAAAAAAATGAAATTTTCAGGACACACAGAACCCTACCACGTACTATAAGAACACCAACAAAAAGCAAAATTTAAAGCCTTCCAAAAATGGCATTTTTAACCAAAAATGTGTACTGGCCTCCCTACCTGCATGGCGTCGATTCTCTGCGGGCTGAACTGGTTTCTCCCGGTGTACAGAACGAAGAGGAAGGCGCGGGGGTCTCGGTGGCAGCCCGGCTCGCTGGCCCAGGGTAGGGCGGTGTACCCGCCGAAGACGTAACCAGAGGAGTTGTACCCGACGGAGACGGTGGGGCCGAAGCCGTCGCATCGCTGGTGGAAGGTGGCGGGATCGAACCCGTGTGTTCTGGCCTTGTATAGGAGATGGAACTCCGCGCCGGGCTGTTAGAAAGGGAAACAAGGGGAGTCTATTTGAAGAAAGTACCTGTACCCCAGTCAAATTTGAGAAACATTGATCTACTGCAATGCCACTACCACAACAAATGACCGAGGAATACGCATATCTGGATATGAACTACGTAATCTTTTATTCCATGTGTACTAGTGTTTGTGTGCTTGTCAGTGTGTGTAGAGAGTGGGGGCTCGACATTCAGGATCGTACCTTACTTCTACTTAAAAGCTTAATTAATCAATTCAAGGCCATATGAATTAAGCCACTGAAACTACATATCTCCAACCTTTGGCAGTATTAGCACCACGATAAAATAGGCTTATCACATAAATTGCTGATAAGTGTGTTCGCTAAGAACAACAACGCCACAGTAACATATAGGTGTGGTCTAGCGAAGAGCCAGTTATAACCCTTACCTGCCCAAGCCATTCCCTAAGTTTCCCCTGCCCCTCGTCCGACAGAAGCGGCTGTAGCTCCCCCATGGTGTTCTCACGTCCTGCCGACACCCACACAACTCACCACGACCGAGAACTTCAGCTATGTTTGACGTCTCTGGGCTGTTAAATCTACAAATATACATAGGGTAGGAGGTACCATTAAAGGGCGGTTACTGCCACTTGTATTAACTCTAATCTCTTATATGTTGATACTTAGAATTTATAGTTATAACAACATAGTATCGAGTGATGTCTATGTTACAGTCCTATCGTAGTAGCTATAGACATAGCAACTTAACGTATAATATAAATCAAATGTCCAGGTGTTTTAGGTAATTTGTTATGGCTCTCAGTAATTTGTTGTATTTAGAACTTTCTATAGCAAGAAACACCTGTTCTAGTGGAACGATCGAATTCTTGTCTTATTCCCACAATACTGGAGGACGCATAACTTCTCAATGATCGACTCGTAAACATTATTTCTTGAGGTCTGGAGCCTACTTCTAGTTTTAGATGAATAAAAAACGCAAAGGAAAGAAATAGTAAAAGTATAACAAACCTGTGGAGTGACACGAGACCAGGTTAGTGGGGACGTGAACAGTAAATACAGGCCGTTGCTACGGTTGAGGAGATTGTAACATTCCGGACTCGGATTTATGGTTATTTGATGCCAAACGTAAACGTTATTAAGGTCTTTTCTTTACGACTCAGTGCAACCACAGAAAACGTTTGACACAAAAGTGGTGAAGGGTTGAATCTTACCTGTGCTATTTGGCAAAGGAAGGCCATTCTGGTCTTGTTCTTCACTCCAAGAGGGTTTGTAATTCCAACACAACCATGCAGATCCTTTCCGTCAACTTCAATTGCCTTTTGTGGACGAGCTAAAGACAGAACATGTACTTTTTCCAGTGCGTTTCCTTAGACTGCCAACATTTGTCTGCTTCTCAGCTCAATGTAGACAAACTCTTTGCAAATCCATGGAATCGAAGATTATCTAAAAGAAGAAAACTACAGCACTTGTAGTTTTCTGGTAGTATTTTCCCTTCTTCCCTTTTGTATTTCCTCTGATTTGGGTCGTTAAACTGTACAACATCGGTGATGACTATACAAACACAGACTAATGCCCTGCGCGCTTACAAAGTCCACAAGCCGTACAAAAGGCCCGGCCAGGGTTACCACAAAGGGGGCTGTAGTATTGCACGTCCCCGTGTTGTTACAACAACATTTTTCCGTTGAAGCGATCCAGAGAACCTGGCGCCTTATCTTTTCCTAACCATACAAGTTCAGCAAGCTTATCATCCTGTCGGATTAACCGTTGGTAGGCAGCGTTCTGTGGCAAAGTGGCGGCCTGTTTCTCGCCTTATTTGCACGTTTCTTTGCTTGGTTCTAATGCTAAGTCACGTATTGGGACATTGCCAAAGTGCCTTTGTCATACTTGGCCAGATTTGTCATGCTTTAAAAACTAGCTCTTGAAATAAAGTGGCGGCTAAGTAGAGGTTTGGCACCCCACAGACTGGCTGCACGTGAAAGCCGTCCAAATTAAGCACATAGAAATTTCAGCCATTTGATATGAACAAACTGTATAAGTCAGTCAGTTATTTGCTAAGGAGGGTTAGAAAAAAGATTCCCAGCTGTCTGTATCTTTACTTTATAATAGTGTTGATGTCATTCACTAGATTTTTAAAACATGTCCCGGTCTGTCTTTTGGTGATTCAGTGATTTTATGTGATTAGTTTATAACATGTGTACACCTTAATTCTTTAAGTCCCTAGCGAGTACACTCTTGAACAGAGAAGTAAGGTGTTCGGTAACATCATCACGGTAACATTACATGAAGCCTGAAACGTTGAATCTCCAAGCAGATTTTTATTTGGTGTAAAATCGTGAGAATATCTAATAGACAATATCCATTAGGCCAGACAGAATCAAATTGGCCAGACAAAGGACGTTGAAGCTCCTTGGCCAGACAGTAAACTGCCTGTACTCTCTTACGATTTTGCCACCGGCCGAAAACATCTGCTTGGTCATTACTGAAACGCCACCTATCAACATTGTCGCAAAATGCAGGTTGCACTTGGCCGTGAGTCAATGTTTCCGGAAGTGACGTATAACACAAGTGGTACAAGCCAAGGCCAATGGGTTTTCTGTACAGTTTAGTCGCGACCCACGTAAATAAACGTCTTACTATGGCTCATTACTGCGTCTGATTCAGGCAAAATTTACTTATTTTGCGGACAATTGAGCTTCTGGCCGCCTGTAAAATACCGACTTGGTGCTATCCCTTTTTTTCTGGGCGGGGCAACGTTCGGATATCAGTTTGTTTACTCCAGTCAGCTGACGGGGTCATCTCAGGCCAGGTTTTACACCATATTTTCCCGTGTTTATACCATTTCTTACCGTTTTACACAATTTTTTTAACCGTTTGTACCATTAATCACCGTTTTTATTCCACTTGTACTATGGTAAATGTAGGTTTCGTTTGACTTCTGACTGCTAAAGCAGGTAACAGGTAACAAGGTCATCGAACATCGGCAAAAGTCCGGCCGAACCTGTCCTCAGTCCAGCACAGACAGCAGACAGGGGGACATGGCCGAGGGTTCCGCCCCCACCGTCGACACTCACGTCCGTAAGTCACCTCTTCCTTCTAGACAAGGCTGGATTTTAAAAAAAAGTTTAAGAGTGATTTAAAAAAGTTTAACGGTGTACGTGAATGGAAAATATGAAGTATGCTTGATAGTTTGATATTTTTATAAGGAGCAGAGTGAATAAACGTGAGGGATTCATAATGAAGATCGTCCATAATGATAAGATATTAACTACACTAGTACTTCTACCAGTAACCTTCAATTTAAAAAGTGAAGTCTTGGGTGTTTTGGGAAGTTGTTGCTTAGTAGATAACAGAAGGAGATGAATTTGCACCATTGTTTAGAAAACAGAATTCAGTACAATGTTTTACTGAAACAAATTTCACCTGTTTTGCACACATTGCAATAATGTCATATCCTACCTAAACACATTACCTTAGAAGCATCTATTGTGTTTAACATCATATTAGAATTATAAAAACCTTGTTATGATATTGTGACAGATCTGTGGGACCTGGAGAAGTGGGACTATGCCTGGCCCACTCCTGACCTGAAGCCGTTATGGCGTAACTTCTACCCAGAGGACCTACAGACAGCCATGGGAACCACACCTGTACACAACATCATCTTTGTGCAGGTTCTCAACCACTCCACACAGGAGACGGGTAAGACTTTACAGTTGAATTTATAAGTTTAGTTAAAAATTAAGTCCTTCCCGCACGACATGGTGCATAGGGCGGCGCCCATCTCCAGTTCAGTAGCCCTTGGGCCACACAGTTGTGCAATCACCATAGCAGGGGGCTAGTCCACTGGTGTATAACTTCCATACTATTGCCCAAATGCTGTGCCAAGCAGAGAAAGCAGTATATATATATATATATGTGCCATTTTGGTATGAATCCAACGGGGATTGAACTCACAACCTATAGACGGAATACAAGACAAGCACTCTACCCACTTGGCCATTGCACCATTGGATTTATAGCACTCTCAAAAATTTTGTTTGCAATAAAGATCTCCATCTGCAATGAAGAGACTGCATCTGTAGTCAGTGTGCATGAAATGTTGTCAACACTGATTTTCCCTCGCAGTACCAAAGATGTTCACTTGAATGGTGAAACATCCATATAGCTCAGAACAAGGGAAATGTGTCTTATGTGTTTTTTTACAGAGTGGGTGTTGGAACTGTGTGAGAAGCACCCATTCCTGGCTGGGGTGGTGGGCTGGGTGGACCTCACTGATCCACAGGTAACTAAAGTACTAAAAAATCACATTGCAAATTTTCACAGATTCAGTTTGAGGATATAGCATCAAAGTACAAAGTACAATAAACTATGCTAATCATAATAACCTTGCAATCATACCTATATATAGTGTATGCTGTCCAAACATTTGTATAATGAGTAACACATGTATGCATGTATCAAGATATATCGTAAATTGGTTTTGAAGATGCCATCAATAAATATTAAAAGACATTATACTTTGAGTCTATACAAAAAGCTACACTGTGATTTAATATAAATTTTCCATAATGTGGTATAAAATGTTTGTTTCCCAGCTGGAATCTACCCTTGACAGACTTGCCACCAGTCCCTACTTCCTGGGTGTTCGGTACATTCTGGATTTCGAGGCAGATGATTGGCTGTCCCGTGCTGATGTTCAGAACGGCCTGGGGATGCTGGAGAGAAGGGGGCTGACCTATGACCTTCTGATCAGGTCAGCCTTTGCTTTTCATACTCATTATTTTGTCCGTAGAGGGTCGAAATTAAACCTCCAGTTGCTTTGACAAACATATAATTAAATATCAGGCCAAAGCTCTCGGCTAATATCAAACTCTTCTGCTCATATGAAGATATCAAAACAAGCAAATTAAATATGACCTCACAACCTACATTAAACAGGCAAAGAAACAAACAAGCCGCAGACCTTTGGACTCATATATATAAGCTGTCCTGACCCACTAAAGTTACAGGTAGGAAGTTAAAGGTACAGCTGCAATGTCCAAAATGATCAACAGGAGGCGCTGTAGCATATTGGCCCAAAGTCCATTGTAAATGATGCCAAAATTACTTAATCCAGATCCAGATTTCTTCTTTTATAGGCAAGGCCATCCACCTATCTACTTAAAATGCAAATCATACATAACCAATTGAATAATCCTACCCGTAAACCTATATAACGTTACATGTACATGTATATATGACCTCCTTCAGTGAATTTTCACAACTATGATAGTAGAATCCTAACTGATATCAGCCTTACAGCTTTGGCTATGGCTGGTTACAGTCCTGTAAACTTGTAAGCCTACCTCAGTGAAAACACACCATTCTTGCCATTGATTGATAATGATGATGTTCTTCCCAAGAAGTCCACTGGTAATAAAAGCACACAGAAACAACTGTTTCAAGTGTACGTTAATGACCATATAGAGGGTTCAACATTTCAACAGTTAACTATTTTTTCCTCATGACAGGACCAGGCATTTCAGGTATGCTAAGGAGGTTGTTGCCAAGTTTCCCAAGCTGAAGTTTGTGATCGACCATCTGGCCAAGCCTAACATCAAGGACGGGGTGATGGAAGGATGGAGAGAGGGGATGAAGGAGTTGTCCAGTTTTCCCAATGTCTACTGCAAGCTGTAAGGACTAGTTCAGTAATAGTGGGGAGGAGAAAGAAATGAAGAAGAAGTGGTGCTAAAAGTACATGTACATGTACTAGTAATGACAGAAATGATGGGGGTTATTTCTTTTACATTTGCTGATAATTTTTTTTTCCTGGGTTACTACCGGTATGATGGCATATTCAATGGAGCCTATAATTCCTGAGTTGATTGTTCCTGCAAATGTGTTTGTTAAATCCACTTGAATAGATGGTATGTAGAGTTGTAGGCCTATCAAAGAATTAGTACAGAGCTACAAAATGGAAGTGAAAAAAAGTCTGCTATTGTTTGTAGGTCAGGGATGGTGACAGAGGCAGACCCAGACAAGTGGACTGTGGAGGACCTCAGGCCATATGTGCAGGTAATGTGTTCAACTTTATACAACACTCCGACTATAGCATAGAGTGTAGCCAAGGACGTATCCTGCTGTTACTGATGTTAATGATAAGGCTTGGAACTTGTGGAATACATTTATATAAGTTTTAGTACCTATGAAAGACTTTTGGTAGCTTGGATACCTATCAATGCAAACTTTCAAAAGTAAAAACCTCTGTAGTTGTCACTAACCCTGACCTATTGACCCTTCAGCATGTTCTGCAGTGTTTTGGCCACGAGCGCTGCATGTTTGGCTCTGATTGGCCGGTGTGTCGTATGGCCAACGCTGACTACCCACAGGTCCACCAGGCGCTCTACCAGTGTCTGGACAGATGCACCGCGGAACAGAGGGAAGCCATCTTTGGGCGCAATGCTGTGGAGTTCTACAGCATCAAGACCCTCAATACCTAGCTAATGTCAAATCTTTTGTCTGCAATACATGCTGAATGTTGGTGACATTTCTTGCCAAAGCCATTCTACTTTACAGCTTCATAGCATGGTACATGACAAATCCTCAAAACCTACATACCGGGTATGTAGTGTCAAATCTTTTGTCTTTAATACATGCTGAATGTTGTTGACATTTTTTGCCAAAGCCATTCTACTTCATAGCTTCTTAGCACAATACATGACAACACTGGATGAACAGTTTTTGTATGATGAATTTTTATGATGCTTATGATGCAGGTGTGCCTACCTGAGGGAATTGTTGCAATATCGGTTCCAATGTATAGTAAAAGATAGTTTTTGTATGATCGAATTTGCTTACGATGCAGTATACTAATATGTGCCTACCTGAGGGAATTGTTGCAATATCCGTACAAATGTATAATAAAGGATTGTTTCATATCATTAAATTTAGTAAAGAAACTATATGTCTCTATTTTTATCACGACATAATTTACTACTTCCCTATCGAAGTTGGGTGTTTTTAATCCATCGCTATGTCAACACAGCAACAGCTTCAAACTGCTACTCCTATAACTGCAGTGATTTTTAGGCCTTCAGGGGTTGTTTTTGATCCACGGTGATGTCAACACAGCAACAGCATCAAACTGCTACTTCTATCACTGCAGTGATTTTTAGGCCATCAGGGGGCGTTTTTGATCCATGGCAATGGCAACACCAAAAGGCTCAAACTGCTGCTTCTAAGACTGCAGTGATTTTCTTGGCCACTATGGGGCGCTTTTGATCCATGGCAACGGTAACACCAAAAGGCTCAAACTGCCAGATTTGCTGATTGACTTGCTGCTAAATTGAGCAGACGAAAAAATGTGACTGAGGAAATCTGTGCCAGAAATGTATTAGGAGGATTTCTATCTGTCTGAAAGAATATAATAAATTTCTTTAAACCTAATTTATTTCAAGACAAGCCTGTGGATAATTCTTTAAACCCAATTAATTTTCAGACAAAAACTTGTGACTTCAAGCGTCCATATTTTATGATGAAACAGACTCAGCAGAGGAATAAAAAGCAACCAGACACTTTTCTAAGCAGAGATGCAGTATACTTTATTGCTCATACATACACCTCCATTTGCTGACAAAATAGTGTATTCTGTGGGTAGGGTCTCTGTCTTCCAGATTAGGTCTACTGGCTTGTCTTACACAATAGATTTTCACCACTGCTACTAACAGCATACAACACTACAGTTATCTACATGGACCAATCATGGCTCTTCGTTTTAATAGCAGTTCTGTCAACGGTCTGAATTCTTTAAAACTATCGTCACATCCATGTTGTGAAACTACCTCGAGCAATCCACAGTGGAACAAAGTTTATAAACACGCTGCTGTGAAAATGTGAGGCATGAAAAAAAGGTGATACATTTACATTGTGCCATGGAATCTTTATTATATTCCTTGGTGATTCCCCTCAAAATAGGATACTTCCGTTCAAATGTTGCCCCGAAAGGAAATGGTTGTACATACATGTAGAAGTTGTAATGGCAGCATATAAAACTTCAACGTGTAAGGTACACTAATGCTCTTATCATATTTCTTTTATTAAACATCCTTAATTTATACTCTTAGTGACAGATGAAATAAAAATTACAATTACAAGAGTAAAGTGTGTTATAGTAACAATTGAAAAGCATGGAAAATACAAAATAATGCTTTCAATGGACCATAATGTGTGAATGCCACATTAAGAACATGCTAAAAAAAGGAGAGTACAACAACATGTACTCCACTGACACTTAAAAACATCTTACCCAAAGTCACTCTGAAGTCAGCAAGCTGTAAGCAGTCATGTGAACCACACGAGTTCTTGTACTCATAGTGAAAATGTATCTACCACTAGATATGACTACCCATACATCTAACCACTAGATCCTTACTTGTCAGCATTATATCAAAGCACCGAAATCATTATCGTTAGTTTATCTTACAGGTGATTTCAATAGAAGAAAAGGTAGAGGCTCCTTCACCCCCTTTTAAGAAAGAAAATTTCCAGAAATCTAGATTAGAATATTTACAATGATATTGACAAGACCAATTTTCAAGGCATACATCATACAGTGAACTCTCTTATTCACTTCTGTAAGTACAGAAATATTTTAAACAGGGACTACACAAGGGATTTGAACGTAAGCTACCACCGTCTACATGTATATGGTACTCTTATTAACCATCCACAAACTGGACTACAAAACTACCGAAACTGATTGTCAACCTACAACAATGGGCAACTATAGGTTACAAATGACTCTAAATTACATGTACTTCTAGTCTCTGGTATATACATCAGCACTTCTGTAATCAAGTTTTTTCGAGCACAAAGATGGGTAGACAGTTTTTTGTTAAGAATATGCCAGAAACACCAACCAAGGATTTTTAAGAAAAGCTGCAGCCATTTCTGATAAGCTTCACTCTCAGTTAGCCCTACTCCCTTCCTCATAGTCACAGTCATATACACATTTTGAGAATACCGGCTGTACAGTTACCTCTGTATCTTTTATAGCACAAACAGAAGTTTGTTAAACACCTCCCACTCCTACAAACTGAATCTAACATGATAAAACTAATATGGGGAAAACAAATTCTTGGCAAAACCTGACATATAAATTTGACATTCAAATTTGGGGCAAGGTACAGTTTTTGACTTTAAGTTAATTTTAGCCCTAGGCCACACCAATTTAATTTGTTGGTTCTCGGATTCGCCTCTTCCTTTTTTTCTGATTTGCAAAAAAAAAAAAAAAGATTCTGGTTCTGAATCAACTAAAAAATGCTCATATCTTGCTTCCAACAGTTGAGGAAAGTCCTTTTCTTCCTAGTTCTTACAGTTTTTTAAATCTTTTAATGCAGTGGTTTGGTTAAAAGTTCAAAATTCATTGTTTCAAATTTTATCCCAGCCTTTTGTGTTGACTTCATGGCTCCAATCGAGGCATTTGGGGCTATAATAGGATGCCTAGGCCTGTTTTTATTTTTATTTTTTTCGCCCTGTCGCTTCATAGTTTTTCTGAAAAAATCCGAGAACCAACAAATTAAATTGGTGTGGCCCTAGTAAGAAAAGGACCAACTACACTGTTACATGTACATCTATAGGTACTGACAGTGAAAAATACAGGCCAATTTCTTGTTACCACTTTGGAGAGATAAGCAAAGTTGTAGTGTTTGAAATTGGGAATTTTAGATATACTTTGAAAATGTAAATTTGGAATCAGGTTTGCACAAGAACAGAACTGGCATTTGTCTCTTCCCCACTGTCTAGTTAGAAACTGGAAATAAAGGGGAAAAAATCGTACACATAACAAACACCCCCCACACACCGGTACCTTTTACACTGCACTATAGTACAGGACTTGTACACATGACATCTTCTGGAACAGAGTTACACCATACTATATAACTTCTGATTTACATAGTCAGATTATACATGTACATACATTTATGAAGTGGTTTGAACCAGTTCATCTGACAAAGGTTCAACGTGAACAGCTGCCAATACACACTGTGTTGTCACCACTAGCCCCATATATAGCCTCTTCTGAAAGCCTTACACATGTACACATACCACAGCATTTGATGCAAAGGCAGCTCTCTTTCTACATCCTAGGTTGTGCCAGAATCTTACAACAGTCCTACAGATTGTGGATAACAATGGTTGTAGTAAGCAACGGTAGTCTACAGTACTTCAAAAAAGCTAGGCAAACAGGTATGGCAAACACAACAGAGTGCCACTAGGTGGATGCGTGAATCAGAGTTCTTCCTGCACTGGTAATACATGTATACGGCAAGATATCTTAAAAACGGAGCTAAAATGTTATACGGACTCAAAACAGTCAAACATGTACATAAACTGGTCTGAAATCCCAACATGAGCCAACTAGGTTGACTTGCGAAGCTGGAAAAAGTAGGCGTAGGTAAGTACCCTTTGCTGTACAATCTCTGCTCTCTTCATCAGGACACCTTTCCTTCAGGATACTCTGTACCTATTACTATCTACAACCATCACTCCCCACCCCTATCCTTACAGGATGTACTGTGGGACAGCTCAGGAGGGTGGCTGGCCCTGCTGTGCTTGCTGCTGTGCCTCGCGGTGCTGTGCCGCGGCCTGCGCCATGGGTCCCTGGCCCTGGGACGCCGCGGTCTGCCCCAGACCCGGGGCCTCCAGCATCTCCATCAGGAATGTGTCGATGGGCGTGTCTCCGATCAACTTGAAGAAGAAGAGGTGTTCAAGGCACTTGAGGCCGATAGAGCGGAGGGCAGGCAGGCGCAGCAGCAGCTTGGCAAACCTGGGCAGAAAACGGTGGGGAAGAACGCTATGTAAAACACTGCAGGCATCAACCAAGTCATTTCATTTCCCATTTAAAATCTAATATAACAGTTTAGACATAAACTGCATTCCCAGGGCTTGAAATACCCAATCTCGCACTCTTGTTGGTACCCCAAGTCATGGTTTCTGTGTGAGACTTATTCCCGATGTGAAAGTTTCAGCTCTTGAAATAAACTGTGTCCCGCTTCGGCCAGCATGTGAAGAATACCTTTACAGGTGGCCTGGCTTACAGCTTGCCTTCTTAACTTAACAGCCAGTGTTGACAGCAACCTGATGTATTGATGGGCAACCTAGCTTTTGGTGAAGGTTGCTTAGTGGGCAACTTGAGAAAAAATAGATTTTAACACTGATTTCTGAAACCTACTGGAGTCTTTCGTTCACATCCCGTCCTTTAGTTGATGGAAACTCCATGTGAGTTAATGATACAATATAACTGTATAACAATGCAGAGTGTTTCCCACCTGCCAGGCTGTTCAGGGTACTGCTGCTTGCAGTACTCCTCCAGGGAGGCATAAACCTTTTCTCTCAGGCTTTCCACCAGTGACGGGTCAGTTAGACCTTTGGCATCTACAGCAGCAGTGGGAACAAGCATTTTAGTCCATACATTGTCATTAAGTACATGTGTAACTGTACACTGTTGGAGGACATCTACAGGTTTCTATAATTGGCACAGACTTAAATTTCACACCTTGCAAGTAGGTACATGAAATTAGTAAGGTACATGAAATCAGCTGTAATGTAATGGTTTGTTGTCGTGCATGTATTACATACTTTTATCGCAATGACATGCTGTTAAAGTTACAGTTTTCATCAGTGATCATCAGACAAGTTGTGAATCAGAGTCAACTCCATAATTACAACAAAAAGAAAAACAAACGTGTGGATTGTATGGCATAAAGGCAGAGCATTTGGCTCAGAACCAAGAGGTCCAGCGTTCAAATGACCGGTTCAAATCCTGCCAAGTCACCAACCTTGTTCCCCTGGGAAAGGCACTTTACACGACTTTCCTCACTTGGCTCAGGTGAAAATGAGTATGCCAGAATGATCATTACAATGATCGTGGGCAGTAAAGGAAAACAAACACACCTGGGTTGAAGAGAACTATAGCTCTCAGGCAGCCGAGTTCCGTCTTGTCCATTTTCATGTCCCTCATCTTGGCGACCAGCTCGGTGAGGACTCTGTCGAAGATGGTTCCCACGCCTGCCTGGTGGGCGGAGCTGCGGTGCACGTGGAGCCCGGACGCCAGCAGGATCCCGTCTTTCACGTCGATGGAGCGGTGGGAGAACGCCGCGATCAGCAGCTCGTTCCAACCTGGGGGACAAACACAGGACAGAAGATGCTGAATCAGGTCATCATGTAAAATGCCTGTGTAGAACCCGGTGTGTTACATTTGTCCAAAATCCTGATGTCTGCAGTCGGTGACTCACTTCAAATCACCCGGACACAACTCAAGGTTTTATAGAAGTGAGGCTTATATCCAAAACTAAAGAGTGAAGACAACCAATGAAAACTATGGGACAAATGACATCTTTACATCAACATCAAAAGTTTGACACATGTACATGTTTTGACCTAATTTCCATTTAAAAAGAAATAGGCATAATTTATAAACATATTTTGAAGGAGCATGAATACAAAGAATGTACATGAAAATACAAAAGACAGTCTACGCAACTTGAGTAATTTACTTGTGTATCTAAGCCAGCATTCATCTGTTTTGGGTTCAGTGTTCATACCTAACTATCAGCAGAACAATTCATCTGCCGTACCCAAACTGTCAGCAGTGGTTGTACATGAACCAACACAGGAAAACACACTGACACAAACCCTCAGAAACAACTGGGCTGGAACAATTTAACAAGGACTCCAGGAAGCAAGGCTGGCTCCGTACCTAACTTCAATTCATTACACAGACCTGTTACAGTTAGAAAGGAACATTTAATGATCGCTCTTGCAATTTTTCTAACTCTTAATTGCCAAACT